TCTGTATCTATCTACTGGTGGGTACGCGCAAATGATTTCCTTCTTGCATTGCTTTTACGCTTCTGTGTGCTTGGGGAGTGGTGATAGACCGGAAGCTTATCGGTTGTCTTGCATGCCGTTCCTCTCGGTGCATAGTTTCGGAGGATTGAGGCCGTGTGCTTCGATATAGGAAAAGATGTAGCCTGCTAGGCTACATTTGAGGCACTTTGTACCACACTAGTGATATTAACTAGAAGTGAGTAAGAGTTGAGGTCTTCTGGACATTTTTGTCTGCATGGTAGCATGACCTCGATAACAGGACTTTTTCCGTTTGCATTCGACGCTACGTGAAACCGATATGACTTCCCGGAGTGCATAGAGAGTGTAGCTATGCGCACTCTAGCTATCATCTCCCCTTTTATCAGGAAACCTGAGGGCCACGACAGGAGGAACCAAGGAATTCTTTAAAGAAGCACTCAAGAACGTTCTACGAACTTCGAGTCCAGTCTGCATTTGAGTGTCGCCTTACGAAGGCCTTATACATGGAATATTGCGAGGCTACCCGAATTACTTTATTAGTCTACTCAGCGGTGGAGTTACTGGACAATTTGACGCGCTCTCTAGAATTTCAACCAGTACAAGAGGGGTGCTTTCATGGGGCTTGCGAAACGCTCCAAACAACGTTTTCCACACAAAATGTTTAGGCCACCGCTGGACAGCAATTCGAGCAGGGAGAATTTTAAACACCCAATTTACATTTTCCCTCCGCGGTCTTTCGTTGGTCATGAGGATATGATTTTCCGGAGATAAGCTGCATTAGCTGCGTGCCAAATAAACCATGAATCTAATCTGGAAGGGCCTTGAAGTGAACAGCTACACAAATCTCCCACTTGACCTGCCCCAAAGGCCATCATTCCACTTCTCGTAGCGTATTTTTCTCCCGCATACGCCTACGCCTGGTGTAACGCGCTTTACAAACTCAAATTTGGAATGAAACACTGTGCTTTGCCGATATCGCTAGTGCGAGCACTCAGAGAAGGGGGGCCCTCTAGGGGGCAACGCGACCATCGTGACCTTTGATCACCAGTGCTGTGGATCCAAAACTTAAAATATTCGGGGGTTCGCAGGCAAGTCTTTCTTACACCAAAAAAGTCTAGATCCAAGCTCGTGGTCGGGTGCTGTGAGTGTCTCAACTTACACATCTCCCTAGAAAGGCCCTCCTTTCTCAGGCTGCCAGCCTACAGCGCATTCAGCAAGTGCCGATACAGGTTAAGTCGTGCTTGAAGAAACGCCAAGCGAGTTTCCTGCTGCTGCGTATCCCTGCGAAGCAGCACAAAAGTGCAGGAAAACTTAAAGCGAAGACGGTGCAGGAGAAGAATACACATCGCATTGTAGGTCTCCCTCTCCATGGTCTCCGATCTTAGACCAAAATTTGAGTTTCTTACAAGTCACCCTCAGAAGAAACAGAAGCACATATGTTTTATGGAGCTCGAAAAGATTAGTTAATACACTTAAAATAAAGCAGCACGCATCGAAAATCCATCTTCACGTTTGAAGAACTTACTGTATGTCGCCTACGTACTCTCCAGTTTCGCTGCAGCAGTTAGAAACATACACGCAATCATGGCAGCCACATCTCGTAGTTTTTCATAGCCCATATAGGTGATCCAGGCAAGATTGGTGGATGATCAATGAGAATACCATCCGGGATCTGAAGATTGTGCAACTGTTGATTGGGCGCCTTACTCGGTTATATTCAAAAGCTCTGAGAGGGCCTCAGTTGATAGAGGGGGGCCACATTGCTCCGCTACATACTTCTGACCTTGATCGATGCGACGCTTTTGGCTTAGCTGTAGAAGCTGCAACGCTGAGGTGTTTGGTGTGAAGCCTCCAACTGCGAGAGCAGCAAGATATGTGCTCGTCATGCTCGTACAGGGAAGAATGAGACTGTGAAGGGGGTTTACCTTTTTATACTCATAAATATAGCATACCTAAACGATCGTAAAGCTTGGCTTTCTTTTCAAGGTGACGACCAACGTCGCTGAGAACTTCAATGCGGCGGTTACTGGCCACCTCATCAGCGGCACTCCTCAAACCGACACCGTCGTTCCTGCCCGCTAATTGCCTCCCAAACCAATCCAGTGCCTGAGTCAATCCAGATTATCATCAAGGATTAACTTTGTTCAGTATCGCTGCAGCAAACCTCCAGAAATGCGTAAAGCTACTCCAAAACCTAGACTCAGCAAGTGTTGGATCCGAGGCTCCGAGAGCCACGTCAGATGAGGTGCGCAGAACAAAGTCATACCTTCCTGGTTGGACGGGTCCATCTGCGAGCACAGTCAGCGTCGTGAGTGAAGAGCTTCCCTTCTTTTGCTGCTTGGGCGAAGAGGGCCCGTTGCTCGCCCAGCTGCTTTCTCTGGTATTCCTGGTGTTTCCTAACTATGGATGATAACGCTAGTTGTGACTCTTGTGAAACTCCACGCAGAGGAACAGGTCGTTCAATAGGCAAAGTGCTTTCAGTGAGCCAGCCATACGTGGAACTCATGCTGCTGAGGGAGGCACAATCCCATAGATTTTGCAGCGAGGTAGAACCACAGGAAGGGACTGGCGAGCGCCTGAAACGTCCGGCACCTTGTACTGTCGCGTCGAATAGTCTATTAAAGAGGAAGAGGAGATGTTGGCCGCTCTATGTCGCAGTTCCCTGGGTGCAAGTAATTCAATGTTGAATATTTTCATCCACCCCTGTGAGAAATCAACGCCTGAAAACTAAGCACAGCTCTCCACGGCCTACACAGCAAGTAATAAATTTGTCTCATGTAGATGACACAATTTGCATTGAGGAGATATTCAAAGATATATTCGCACTGCCCAAAGGGGCTTTGAAGAAGCCCCATGCATCCAGGTGAGTACATCAAATGTGGTACCCTCCCGTGTCATGGGCTATTTGTGGCAGTCCAGAGATTGCTGGATGTGAGAAAACCTTTTAATTTTGTTATTTCGTTATTATTGCTCCTAGTGCTTGCCCTGTTGTGAGCTCGTGTGTTCTTGGCTGCCAGCAAAATCTCCGCGCGTTATGCCTTCTTGTTGCGTCTGGGCTCATCCACTGAGTGCATTCATTGCAGTTGGCACCAGATAACCTCTAAACGTGTTATCAAAGACTCGCCGACAGCAGCATCTACTGGAGAAGGTCCACAGTTTCGGCTGTAATACCTCTCCTGCAGTATCAACGCCAGCGACGTGAGTCCCCGGCCTTTTGCGCATACAAACATTATCGTCAGGAAATTTGCGTAGAGATACAGCTCAGATTGTGCCTATTTTTTAAAGTTGCTTGCCTCTTACTTCGGAGGACGGCTCTCATGACGGGGTCTGAGGGCACAACGGAGCAAGCAAATTGTGTCACTCACCACCAGTCGGAGGAGAATTTAGAGGAGTGGCAGCCCAAGCTTCACGATGGGAAAGATGAAGAATGTCATGTATCTTTAGTGAATTCTTGGGTCCGGAGGGCATCAAAGCCGCTTGTTTCTGCCTTCGCAGATCCTCTGCATACTGAAGGCGTCTCGTCTGCACCCAAAATGATACCGGCCAGTGAATCTGTTTTGGCTACATACTCTGGTAGTGTAGACCCAGGATCACGATCAGAGTCACAAGATCATGATGGTGCAAGAGATGAGGACGTACCGGAAATATCTGCTGACTCCATCGCTGCCGCAGCTTCAGCTGCAGCCTTGGCAGCAACCGACGCAGGAGAGCTGCAGAGTACACCATCCTCAGAGGATAACCAAGCTTCAGCAACGAAACAATCGTCTTCGGACATGCCTCCGCCTTCTTTCTTGCCACGGCAGCTTCGAATGAAACGTAAAATCACATTGCCCTGCCAGATTCAGTGTCCGCTGGTGACGTCTACATATCCATTGTTCTAGCGTCCTCGTTGTTGGTTAGTTTATGGTCTGGTCGAATGCGTTTACTTTTGGTTTGTGATAAATTTGCAGGGAGTAGCAGCAAAGCTACTCGTAACCAGATTTCGACGCCGGCTCAGACACCAATTACTGATAAACAAGCAGTTTCAGTTGCCCCCCCCTCGTCTGCCCACTCTACAGATAATAGTAGTGGCCATGCGACGGCTTTGACGGAGCAACAAAAGGGAAAGCAAGAGCAAAGTGAAAATGCCCAGTCGGGTACAAGTAATCGTGGGAATGTCGATGATGAATTCATGCTTTTCATGAAAGAGATACAACAGCTTGATAGCCATGGAGTAGTTGAAGCAGATTCAGCTACGGAAGATGGGCAGTCTGATGAATTTGAAGGGCATGACACCCAATCAGGCAAGGATCAGTCAGAAAAGTCAAGTCAACCGGTGCTTGAAAGCCTGCATGACAATCCCAACGACCGCGAGACCTCCCAACAGTCAGAGCAGGAGGTAGTATGGCAGGCGGTGCTAGACGCCGCCTCTGGTAAAACGTATTACTGGAATGTAGTCACTGATGAGGTTACATGGGAGTTGCCCAGCGTTTCAGTAGGCAGTGGTTCGACGTTTGTAGGGACGCAGCAGCAAGAGCAAGCGCAACACGACCTATGGCAGTGGGCATCCTCCAATTTTAGAATGACACAAGATCTGCCGACTTGCTCGGAAAAGGTGCAGCAGCTCATGTTACAGTTAGATTTCATTGAAGAAGAGTTGGACGCAGTGTACGAATGCTCAAAGTCTGCCCACCCAGCACAATCCGCTGAAGAAGCCCACGTCAGTCTGCGGCTGCAGCGCTTTCGTTCATTGAAGCGTCAGCGAGAGCAGCAGCGCGAGCAGCAGCGACAGAAGCGCTCATGTGAAGCGAAAGCTAGTGGTTCGGATGACGAGCTTCTGAAGGAACTCATTGATCTCCAGCTTCAACAAGACCAGCAGCCTAGCCCTACTCAGTGCGCAACATGCAGGCAGCGCGTTGCAGAATCAAGAGGAACACAGCACGAGCAAGCCAAGGTAACTCACACTATGCATGATCTTGTTAGGGCATTCTGGCGTGGTTCAGCGTACATCATTTATTTTTTCTCATAGAATATCCCGTTCCTTGTGCATTCTGGTTCCTTTAGGTTCGCTCGCTTGCTTCTTCACTTGCGCGGCGCCTTGGAAAGGTGGAAAAGGAATGGGCCTCCACTATGCTAGCCGCTTTGAAGGCTCGCCTGGTACGTCATGGTGCCGTTGTTATAGTATGCGCAATAGTTGTTGGTGCCGTGGCGACCCGCTCTCACATACGCGCATTTGTGGTCTTGCAACTGCACTGGGTCACTTCTCAGTACTTCCTTATGATTATGCGTTTGAGGCTTCCCTGTTCAGGACGACTGGATAGATGGAGGGCTCAGTGGATCCTTTTTCCTTCTGAGGCTAGATAAAATGCAACAGGAATTTCAGGTAGGTCAGGTCTCCGTTCCGTGCTCCGCTGTAGAGCAAGCAGCGCCTCTCTTGTACTTTTGGTGGGTCGGCAGGCCATGGATAAAGCTTCGAATTTGTTATATCTTCGGAGCGTCTCTTATGCAAAATGCAGAAACATCTATCACAAGACGTAGAGGCACAGGGTCGGCAGCAAGAATTAGCGTCGGTTTTCCCATATTCCGCCGCTGCAGCCGCTGCGTCAGCCAGTCCAGCGACAAAGGCCACGCCACGGAACTGCTTGGCTGCTGCAACTGCGGTGTCTTCGTTGGAGCGCGGCGGTAGCGGACGGATTTCCAATACTTTGTCGGATGCAGAGGCTGTGTTAAAAGTTTGCAGTAACCCCATTGAAGACTCGCCGGCAGCCTGTGTTTCCCCTCCTACCCCTGCAGGACCCCCACCGACGCTTCCCGATGATGCACCCCCTGCAACAGCAGATGTCACACAAGGGGGGGCGACACCAGCAGCAGGTATGTCGCTGGTTGTTTCGCGTGATTTGCATACGGTCGAAGGCCTCTGGATGGGTCTCTGCCTAGCCGTGGTCCTCCCCACGGTAGCAGTTTTTGTTCGTGTGTGCTGCGCTGTCCGTGTTGACGCCTGGGAACGCTGCAGTTTTGCCGTCCCATTGGGCTGCTGCCAACCAGACACTGCTAGATCGTTTGTGATTTAGCTCCATTCTGCGCATTTTCCAGCATAGTAGTGGCGTCTCCTGGGTAGCATTGCCACCTGTGGGCACGGTGTGCCTCCACATTGCTCTCTGGAGTATGCACCTTCGAAGAAGCCGCATAGTCACAACATATCTATGCACTGAAGCCTGCGCAATGGATGGGCTCCTGCTGGTTAACCAGCCAACAAGGCCGTTCGCTCCAGCAGTGGCTGCACATATCAATCCAAGGCTAGCGGCCCGCAAAGGGGCTGTTACCCTTTCAGGCGCGTCACCGCCCGGTGACGCGCCACAGCTGTGTCGCATGCTCTAGGAGTGTTTGGGCAGGTTCATGATGTAGTGCAGGGTCAGGTATCTCTGCAGTTTCTGGAGCGCCGCAAGATAATAACGCGGAGCCGCACTTCTGTAGCCTATGTTGATCGACTGTTTTTGTCTCAATTATCGCACTGCCTGTTCTGGATGGCATCGCATGCATTCGTACGATCAATGGCTCATTCTTATGTTACGCAGATTTCCCGGTGGCGGCTTCTGCAGTGCCACGCGATGGAGTCCAAGCACCTGGTTTGACTGGACTGGCTGCAAAGCGCACCATTAGCGGCTCGGGTGCAAAAAAAATGAGCTCATCTAACCCATTAGTGCGGAAACGCATGCAGCTCGTTGAAAAATGGCAGAAAAGCAGGGAAAAGGACGAGGAATCAGAGGAAGAGGTTAGTGCTGAAAGTTTGAGACAGCAATGAGCTATATCTGGTAGCCTGTTCACCCATGCTGGGCTTGCCCACATTCGCTCGCGTAATCAATATGTCATGTGCGCAGGACTACGAGCAGCGGAAAGAACGTCTGAAGCAGAAAAAACTTGACGAGTGGAAGGAAAGAGAAATGGCTAGGTATGTTACTTTTGTTATCTTTGTGTTCCTGCACTGTAGAGCCTCGAATGCTCGTTACATCTGCAATTGTATGGTAGCGCAGGACGCCAGCATATGGTTGGCTAGTTGGCCTGCACAATCCAGCGAAGTATGCGATGCCGCAGAACCGTGCTTGGATTAGTGTGCAAACATGGAGGTTTTAGTATCCCATCCTGTTCTGTTCGCTTTTATCCCCTTTTCGCAGCCGGAGAGGAATGCAAAACGCGAACTTCATCGAAGTTACAGCAGACTGGCGAAGCCTGGTACAAAGAAAATGAACTATTAGGGTCAGATATCCTACAACCGTCCAATAGGGAGTATGGAGCACTTTAATGCCTTAACTAGCATTGCTTGTGTGATATTCCTTTTGCGGCATCACTTCGTTACTGTTTCCTACAGCCACCAGCTGCTGGGAGTCAACCAGAGGCTGTGGCGAAGTGGGTTGAAACAAGTGCATGATGGTGCCTTTGGGTTCACTGGATCTGTCGACGACGTTGTAGCTAACTTGCATTTTCTCCTTTAGGTGGCAGATTTGGTGGTATCTTGATGCATAAGAAACTCGCACTCTAGCCAGGTTCCAGCACGTCCGATACTACTAGTATAGCTAGGGACCTAGCATTATGCCAGCGCTTTTGCGTGATTCAACGTGGGTCTTTAAAAGTACAACAACAAACGTCGTAGGAAGCACGAGTCTTCGAAATCGTAAGAGCGCGAAGCAAGAGGTTACAAAAATGTACTAGCTTGATTTGCAAAAGCAATGAAAGGACGTGGCAGTTGAGATACTGTCGATTGGCGGGTGCAGGCCAGACTATTATTATCCAGGCCCTCTTCAGGCTGCATGTGAGATGGAGATAGCAGGCAACAGTGTGTAGTATTCGGGGACTTGAGCTTCTTTCTAACTTTGTCGTGGGGTCCATTTAGGAGCTAAGGTGAAACATATATCCCTGTGGGAGTCTTGTGACTGAGAGGTGTCGAGGCATGGGCGGACAGCAACAGCATTAGCATTCCTTTAAATTGTCGCTGAATACCGATCATCTCTTGTCTCCAACGTGTCCAACGGATTGCCACGCCATGAATAGCTCTAGACGCCTTTTTGTAGCCATTCGAATTTTCCATGGACTACTTGTGTGCCGGCAGGCACAGGCTCTGGGGCATTCACGAGCAAATTAGCAGCGTACACTGCAGGGCGAACGATAGACGTTTTGAATCATAGATTAGTCAATGTATGGGGCAGTTTGTCGCAACGACACGTATTAGTGCACAAAAGAGAGCTCTCATCAGCTGGACACGAATGGTTACCAGCATGTCAATCGAGGATTTTCTTGCAGGTGAAGGCTTCGAGTAGTAAAATTGCAGTGCCTAACTATTTGGAGCCATAGTCTTGCGCTAAATCTGGTTGGTGGGAAACAAACGAATTTTCGAGGCCAACGAATGCAAGGAGCAAAGTTGCAAAGTGCATCGGCACATCGCTCCTCCCATACGTACCGAAATTGTTCAAGACATCCGATTCACCTAAAGACTTCTTTCCCTCGACGAAATCGCTTTCTACGGAAGTCTACAGGGTCGTGGGTAGCTTGTCCGTGAATGAGGTTGGCGTCCTTCAAAGAGTTTGCAATGTGCACTTGTGCTTGAGACGACGCATGGAGTGAGGAAGACTAGGAGGCGCAGCTGGTCTGTCATGCAGACAAAGTGCATAAAAACAAGATAGCCTAGGGTTTAAGGTACATATACCCTATTTTGAATTTTTTTTTTTTTGCCGTAACTCCAGGCCAAGATACCAGAAGAATGCAGAAAGAACGAGTTTTAGGTGCGCCACAGACTTGTACGCATTAATAAAACAATTTCCAGGCTTCACCCCTTATCACAGAAATTTATATATGCAGCATTTTGAGTAGCGAAAAGAAGACAGGCAGCAAACAGAAAGGGAATTGCTCTTACGATGCGTCTAGCCTGAGTAATCTTGTGACCAGGGAGATCCACCGGTTGACAATAACTTAGAGCTTGGAGATTAATGGTTGTTCATCAGGAGCCGTAAAGGAGGATCGATAGTAATGCAACTAGCGAGCTGAGCTCGTTAGGCATTATGCCGAGCAATTTCCGGCAAGCACGGAACCAGCCGGCTTAAAAACAGACTGAAGCCCATTCAAAGCGAACAAAAGCACCATAACTTTATTGCGATATCTTCTTACTTAGTGCCGACATGCCAAGCACAAGACTTTTGTGCTATTTCGGTGTGTACTGGGATTATATATGCTAGTGCGCACTATGGACAATATTTCTAGGTTGAACTAGACAACTCTGAGGCTTAGAGAGTACAGGGGCGAAAATAGCTAAACATGACGCCTAAAATACTTATTAGTGTGTCCAGAGTGCGAGCTCTAACAGGAATTTCCTCCAGGGGTCGCCTTTGCACCGAAGTTGAATAAGGAAAGCCTTTTGGCACGAATGCATCTGCATGCGTTATCTAGGGCTATATTCTTGAGTTAACCTATGTAGCCCTTGCATGGTTCAATACACTAGATTTCTTCTAGCATTGTAAGTTGTAAACGACGCCAATCTCAAGACAGCGCCTCCAGCACAACGCTGTACCCGTAGGTAGGTACCACCGCAGAGTGTAGATTAACAAAGTCAAACCAAAAAAGATCTAGCGTGCATAATGGCTGAAAATACTAACTAACACTGTTTACAATGGGTGCTCCAGCAATGATTATGATATTTACTACTAATGCCGAGATGAATAATGCTTATCCCCGCTGCCCCCTGGTGATCTCCAGGCGGAATGCGTCAGGAATTCCTAGAGTCAGCATACCCGCGCGCTTTTCTCCTTGTATGAGCCATTGCGGCACTGTACAATGGCTATATGTGAAAAGGGAACCTTTTCGCGATAAGGAATAAGCTTGGTACCCGCAGTATTAGCACCGGCCACTGCGCTGGCTGGACCCCATTAGCCACGTACTTTTCCTACTACCGCAGTGAACGGCTGCTGGTTGCTAGTACTTTATTTGAGTATGCAACTCAGCACAGTGTACGCGTTTATGCAGCACTGTCCAATGCACGCTAGCGCTCAAAGGGCTATAGCATAGCCTACTTTGTACGAGGCCAACGTAAAACGCTATTGCAGAGAGCATGCTGATGCTAACGTGTCTATTCTTATTTCCAAAGCGCCGAATCTATTTCAAAGATATCAGACGGAGATGCTAAGACCAGTGGTGAAACGCCCTCCCAAGCATGCAAGCGGTTTCTGGGATAAATCAGCAATGATTAGGTGCTGGGGTGCAACATCGCATGTGGATCGCTTACGCCATTACATTGATCATGTCCGTATTTAGCATGAGAATATATGCCATGGGCATAATTATATTATGCCTTGGAGTGCTTCCTGCGTCTCCATGTACGGTATCGATGTACAAAGTGTGTATCGCTCCACATAAGGTCCCCGTAGGGAGACACAGAACTCCAAATTCAAGACATGCTAAAAGGAACGTTTTTTAGTGCTCTCAAAGAAATTGTCTCGTCTTCTGCTGTCCGGCCTCCCAGAGTTCCCAACTTAAGGGGACAAGGACAGCTAGGAAGCGGCTCCGCGCATCCTCGGGCACTTTGGGCGCACACAGCTAATGCCCATAGCATCGAGCATACACGCGCACAACATTGCATTTCATATTTCGCGACAACAGTACGGTAAAAATTAAGATATCCGGATATGCAAACCAATTCGCTACTAATCCATAGTCCGATTTAACCCGAGTAGTAGTAGAAAATACTAAAGTGTAACTCAGCCGGCCACTGATTTCCCCCCCACTTCGAAATGTACACTACATATTCCGTGCCTGTACGTAGAAAGCAATTCCATGTAGAATAGTGGAAGAGTTCCCTCCATTTTCCCGCTCCCCATGCATGCGGAAACGCGAATGCATATAGAAAAGCAGATGTGTACAACAGCTGTCGAAGTGAAAGTGACAGGGGAAAGGGGACACGCTAACGCAAAACAAACTAGGGCTCGACCCAGCAGAGGGAGGCCTCGATGCCGACGGAGCGTTAAAGTGTGTGAGCCTACTACGAGGAAACAGACAACAGTTATGTGGAGGATATCAAAGAACACGCTAGTTTAGCAATGCTTCCGCGCCTCGTAGAGCAATTTCCGCATGCCAATGCAGCTGATGCATGCAGCATAGTCGCTTTTCCAGACTCGCCACCCCCCCCCAAAAAACAAACGAATACTAAGGACAACACAATGATGGATACCTGTGCACAAACTTGGGTATTTGAAAGCACCATAGCAACAATAACCACAAACATCTCAAGCCGCACCCAAAGGTAAACTTGCTATTTCAGGCAGCGGATTCGCTGGAGCAGGCCGGTTACGAATGAACGCGAGGAATGCCATACATGGAGACTAGCTCATTCTCCCCTGGCAAAGCTCACGAACTCTCCTCCATCTACCATTAAGGCTGGGGCTCTCCACTCCATCCTACTACATGGACATCCCATGTTCTTATGTACATTGTAGCACCTTTGCGGCGTCCTACGGACCTCCGCTTGCACCCAGTCACTTGCTCAGGCGCCGCGTCTGCGAAAATATGGGGAAGTTTCAAAAATTTTGTGGGAGTCTAATTCCTAGAGCTCTGTGGCACCTCCGATTCCTGCAGAAACCTATAGAATTGAAGAGGCTAGAAACTCGTGCTAGGTAGCACACCAACAAACTTCGCATCCTCATTCCTAGTGACCCTCATGGAGAATGGGTGAAGCTTCAGACACTAAATAGGAATACTCTAGCAACATTCCCAGCCTTCAGAGACCTGGAGCAAGGGACAAAACTCATACGCTTGGTTCGAAAGTTATTTTACTCTCCCAGACATACCGCTCGTCTCTGATGAACCTTGCAAAGGATGTTGCTTGAAGGCCTCGGTAATCCTTGGGACCTTCAGTGGCATGGGTGCTTCCTAAATATGAATCTATAGCATAATATTCTTTGGGCCTGAAACAGTACTGTGGAGTGACGTCGGATTGTACGAATAACGGAGCTGCCCCTATCCAGTTTAATCCATCGCAAGCCATCCTCAACACACTACTGCTCCACCCGTTTGCCATTCGGGATTTTACCAAAAGCGGCGGATTCGTAAGTGTAAAGGGTATCTGACACATCTAATATCAATAGTGACAGTGAATCAGTAGGTAGCAGAGCGACTGAACCTCACAATAGTGGTGCACTGGGGCATTGCGCGATGAAGTCAGTAATCACGTTGATGATGCCCTTAGTGCACTATACTGTAAAGTCCCA